GTTTTTCTTTTTCATTTGTGATTGGAGTAGTTTCTGCTTCAGATAAGGGTAAATAAAAAACTGTTGGCCCAGGTGGTGTGATATTTGAACAATATCTCAAACAATCTGATGTACGGGGGTCCAAGTCGATTAGAAGATGTCCAAAAGAGTCTCTGGTAGCTAATTCGTAACAGTTTCTCAAAAATTTTGATACATTCAATTGTCTTCCTAATAGATCTAGTTGCTGAACGTCGCGAGGCGATTTGAACAGAATGATGTGTGAAGTGTTCAAATCAATCGTACGCGACCATCGACTTTGTTGAAACAAGTTATGCTTAACATATATTACATCTATCCCTCTATGTCTACCCGCTGTCGCTAACCTAACAAATTCCTTGTCATTATAGATGTCTTCACATGAATCATCGAAAACTAGAAGAACATTTTCTAATTTTCTCACAGATTCGAATCCGTCGAATTTCATGAACTCCATATTCACTTCGCGAGAAGACACTTTTTCTGAGAATGCAGGTTGCATCTCTTTGTAAAGATATAGAACGGTTCCAAATTTAGGGTAAAAAGTATTTCCCATCAGAAGTTTCAAAATTAACTCAGTTTTCCCGGATCCTGAAGGTCCCACTATCGCCATAAAAATTCTTGTCGAAGTATCAATCACTTTATTCATATTCTTGGGTTTGGTAGTACGTAACCAACCAAGCCTGATAAAATCGAGAACCAAACTGACGTTTCTTCGCAACTTAATTTAGTGAAAGAAAGTTTGAGAATGCAGAAAGTTAGTAAAATTAGAATTACTACCATTTGCGCAACAAAAACTACTTCAGACCTTGGCAAAGTTACATTGTTACAAAACTTCCATGATTTTTTTTCACTGTTTGTCTCGTTATAAACAAACTCTGTTACTAATGTTGCGTCAGGTTCATCTACTGCTGTTGTTGCTTCTGACATTTGAGAAACTATTTATTCTACAGACTGCGTTAGACTTTTTCTCTCTGCGAATGAAGCTTGTAAAAAATTAAATTACTTTTGAGAACAGTAAAAAATTTCATAATGTGTGAAATCTCTATCATTTATGTCATGCATTTCTAAAACAAAGTTTGCTGGGATATTTGCGGTTTTTTTGTAGTACATTATTTTCTTCACAGTATCCTCTTTCACAATCGTCTTAATCTCATCTGGCAATTCACTGCTGTTTAGATCCATCTGAACTCCTGGCTGACGTTTGGGTACTAAGACTAGTTCGGGAAGACATACTCCTCGCTTGCTGGCTAACATTTCTGATAAACTTGAATCTCTGGAAGTATACAAATTGATCAATAACTGGAAAAAACCTCTTCAACGTAGACAACTCTTCTTCGGAAATTATTATTTGCTCCTTCCTCTGAACAATTTGGCCACTGCAATCAATACGCTCTATTCTCGTTAATGAAATTTTAATATCACCCTCTGGAGTCATCCACGCACAAAGCATTGAATTTTGTGATAGGTATGTCTCCACTTTCGCTGATCTCTCGCTGTTGTTCATTTTTCAACCAATCATAAAAAACCTTGGTTTTCTTCAAGGCACAATGATTCCTGGAGTTGTAATGTGGAATATGTTTATTGCAACTTGGATAATTTTTAAAATATAAGTTTTCAACCCGAGGACAGCCCAAATCATCTAGGTTTTCAATCTTTCGGTCCAAGAACTTGGCCAAAAATTCTGTCTTTTCTTTTCCTTTAGCGTAAAAAACGGCACCAGGATTTCTCAGCACAAAACTCTGAAGTATTTGATTCAAGTTTATATAAAGATAATCACCGTTTTCCCAATGGAGACCGTGTAAATAATTAGTTAACCAGTTGTAAGCTTTTTGTTCAAGCTTTGGTAGTATATTGAAATTCACTGGAGGTAGGAAAATGAGTCGATCGCTGTAGTCTGAAGTTGTTATTGCTAATTCTTTAACCACAAAGGCGTTTTTCTTGTAACGAAAGCCTTCCACGTCAAGCACAACTGATCTCTCGCCTAGCATTCTAGTAAATGATAAACTTCTGGTTTTTTCAACTTAATGAAAAGGCAGAACGCTATTCCACTCAAATGTCCCAATAAGCTGTTGTTACAGTTCCAGGGCAACATGTAACAGTACGTGGGACCCTGTTGATAAAATTCGTGTATAAATCCGGCCGCATCGTGCAAAATAGCGTGCAATCGTAAAATTTTGGAATTTTTCAAATATTTGTCCAAGGAAGAGTTATCAATACCAATCAAGCCACCATAAGGTCTCAACTTAATTAAAATGTCGTAGTTAAGGTTATCAGAACTAACAAAAAACAGAGAACATGCAGCTAGAAAATAGTTGCGTCGGTTAGAATTATCAGGATAAGTTTGTTTCAAAGACGTATAAATTTCGTGAATTATTTTCAAATCAATAGGAGTTACTCTGCTTTTTTGCAATTTCATTATTTATTTTTTCCAACACCTCTCCAACCTGCTGAATTTCAAGCCAGTGGAAATAAAAGTGACCTTGCAAATACCATTTAGACTCATTAAGATAACGGTGGTAAAAAATTAAATAAACCACCGGAAGTTTTTTGTATTTTGATAGCTTGTTGAAACATAGACGGATTTTTCTCTCCAAGTCTTTATCAACCCATAATGAGTTAAAGTCAAACGAATAGTCGAAAACGTTTTCATAATCAGCAATATTCAAATCGCTCACAGTGCCATACTTTTGTTTTGTAGAAATGCACCAAGAGATTTGTTGAAGCTCACTCAAATAAAATTGTTCTTTGAAAATCAACTCGTATTCTTTCTTTGAAATTTCTTTTGCCCTTTCGAGGAAGACGACGTAGCGTTCATTACATAATTTGAAAAATGAGTTTTTTTCTGCGGTTGAAAACACTCTTAATTGTAAATGTTCATTATCAATATCTTCAGTACACCAAGTTCCCTCTAATTTCATTTTTCTTATTTCAAAATTTGACAATTTTATCATTTGGTATATTTTGCCCAGAAACGGCCGCCGCCTTTTGAGAGTAATTTCAATTTACTGCCTTTTCACCATAAAATTTAGGTCAAGTTAAGGAATTAGTTTACTGCTGCCAACAGTTAAGCTACGCTGCCAAAATGGCCGGCGAATTTTTATTATATACCATAAAAGTCAATTCCCCGTTCACTAACAAATTTCAACTAGGTCGAAAGTTCATTTACCCTAAACAAGCATAACAATTAATATGATTCATATAATTAATCAGGACCAATAATTAGGACCCCAAAATTTGGAATTAGAAAGATTTTTGTATCGTGTCCCTTGTTGTTAAGCTAAACTTAGCAAGATCCTAAGTAGGGGGTCTTCTGCTTTTTGGGTGGAAAATCTCTTTCGTTTACAAAATCCTAGGATGAGGGTCCTCCAAAAAATTAAGGACCCCTTTCCTAGGATTTTGCTTTACGTGAGGACCCCCCCCCCCCTTAGGAAGGACCCCCCCCCCCTTAGGATCCGGGACACGATACAATACTACTGTTAGTTTATATTTTTTTATTTTTCAGCTCGATAAAATATTAACCTTTACACGTAGGCATCCCAAAAACTAACGAAGATATTATGAAATTTGAATTAATCAAGTCAAACTATGCATTATCCCTTACACCTAGGCACCACAAAAACTAATAAAGTTTTCGGTAGGATTTAATAAAACCATATCAAAAAGTGAATCATCGTAATGGCAAGTTATTGCTTCAATCCCGCAGTGGAACGGATTTTTTCTCTTTTTTTTTCATGCAACATCTGGTATCAGAGAGAAACGTCACAAAGAATTGCGTGATATATTATGTTGCAGCCAATAAACTTAAGCCGTAATTTTGACTGAAAAAAAATTCGAAGAAAATTCTCTGCCGCAACAAAAGGAAAATGAATTTACGAAAGTAAAATGAATGTGTAGTAGAAGCAAATGAAATATAATTAGCTTGAAACTATTTAAACTTTAAAAATCGATTTGTGAATAATGTTCTTAATTAGTTTGTTTTGACCAGATATTGCGAAACAGGTACCTGCCAATGTGTGTCTTTTCAAAATCCATTGGAATTTGAGACACTTTTCTAGTTTAATAGAAAAGTAACGGTTTCAATTCCAGCTTTGTCATTTTACTGTTTTCTATCTAGTTCCTCAAATTAAAGCAGAGGTATCCTAAAAATTTTCATGCCGCAGTCATTTGATTGGAAACTAGGGAGAACCGCATTTTTTTGCCAAACATAGAACCGCCCACCCAATGGAACAATTGGATTGATCAATTTCTCTTAGCAATCATAGCAAAGCCAAATCTCGACGTCGATAGCCTGAAGAAACCATTCATGGCGTAGAAAAAGATACCCTTGCTGAAAGAACCTCAAATTTCAGAAAATGATTAGCAGAGGAAGGTAATGAACCCCAGCAACAAAAAACGAGGTACGACAGATCGCAGGTGAAAATTTTTTTTCAAAAGAGAAGAGAAAAGTCGGAAGCAAAAGAAGGTGCGAGGCAGAAAAAAAACAGATCTATCTTATACTTAATCCTGGTTGTGGAAAGTGCCTGAGTCTTTTCACAACAACACCCTCGGATACAAGTCTTGTCACTCTCATTCAATAAGTTTTTGATCTTTCAGAAAATGAATTCCTACAACCATTAAATATCAGCTTCGAACATAACATATTGCTATGCCGCAAACTAAAAAGTCAGGAAGCTTACTAGCAACTTTGGGGAGCATGTTTGAATCTAGCCAGATCGAGCGCATAGTAGGATCATCTGAACAAGATTAGATAGTTGATGTTTTCATTTCTAATATTAAAAAATGTCATATTCAACAGAAAATCCTTCTCAAAAGGCTACACCCAATGCCCTATATCAAGAAACCACCAATAAAAAGGGACTCTTTAATTTCTTATAACAAACAAAGAGCGCCGTACAAAAAATTCAACTCGCTAAAAAAACCTAGCCTGAACGTTAAAAATTTGATCCCTTTTGTAATATGTGGAAATAGCTAATATGTGTTTTTCTTGTTATTCTCCATAATAGCTTTATGCCACTGCGCTTTCCTCAAAAAAGCAGCAGCCATCAGTATAATCTGAATAATATTTCACACTGCTTAGTGTGATCAGTGTTTCTATAAGTTCAAGTATAAAAAAATTAAAAACCTCCGCAATTTGTGTCTGTTTTTGTCAGTTTTCGAAGCACATGAAGCACAAACGAAGGGAATATTTCCTGAAGAGACAGTAAGAGGTTGTTTTTGTCTACATATGCACGCTGCCTCATGGATGGAACCAGCAATACCGTTAGTTTATATTTTTTTATTTTTCAGCTCGATAAAATATTAACCTTTACACGTAGGCATCCCAAAAACTAACGAAGATATTATGAAATTTGAATTAATCAAGTCAAACTATGCATTATCCCTTACACCTAGGCACCACAAAAACTAATAAAGTTTTCGGTAGGATTTAATAAAACCATATCAAAAAGTGAATCATCGTAATGGCAAGTTATTGCTTCAATCCCGCAGTGGAACGGATTTTTTCTCTTTTTTTTTCATGCAACATCTGGTATCAGAGAGAAACGTCACAAAGAATTGCGTGATATATTATGTTGCAGCCAATAAACTTAAGCCGTAATTTTGACTGAAAAAAAATTCGAAAAAAATTCTCTGCCGCAACAAAAGGAAAATGAATTTACGAAAGTAAAATGAATGTGTAGTAGAAGCAAATGAAATATAATTAGCTTGAAACTATTTAAACTTTAAAAATCGATTTGTGAATAATGTTCTTAATTAGTTTGTTTTGACCAGATATTGCGAAACAGGTACCTGCCAATGTGTGTCTTTTCAAAATCCATTGGAATTTGAGACACTTTTCTAGTTTAATAGAAAAGTAACGGTTTCAATTCCAGCTTTGTCATTTTACTGTTTTCTATCTAGTTCCTCAAATTAAAGCAGAGGTATCCTAAAAATTTTCATGCCGCAGTCATTTGATTGGAAACTAGGGAGAACCGCATTTTTTTGCCAAACATAGAACCGCCCACCCAATGGAACAATTGGATTGATCAATTTCTCTTAGCAATCATAGCAAAGCCAAATCTCGACGTCGATAGCCTGAAGAAACCATTCATGGCGTAGAAAAAGATACCCTTGCTGAAAGAACCTCAAATTTCAGAAAATGATTAGCAGAGGAAGGTAATGAACCCCAGCAACAAAAAACGAGGTACGACAGATCGCAGGTGAAAATTTTTTTTCAAAAGAGAAGAGAAAAGTCGGAAGCAAAAGAAGGTGCGAGGCAGAAAAAAACCAGATCTATCTTATACTTAATCCTGGTTGTGGAAAGTGCCTGAGTCTTTTCACAACAACACCCTCGGATACAAGTCTTGTCACTCTCATTCAATAAGTTTTTGATCTTTCAGAAAATGAATTCCTACAACCATTAAATATCAGCTTCGAACATAACATATTGCTATGCCGCAAACTAAAAAGTCAGGAAGCTTACTAGCAACTTTGGGGAGCATGTTTGAATCTAGCCAGATCGAGCGCATAGTAGGATCATCTGAACAAGATTAGATAGTTGATGTTTTCATTTCTAATATTAAAAAATGTCATATTCAACAGAAAATCCTTCTCAAAAGGCTACACCCAATGCCCTATATCAAGAAACCACCAATAAAAAGGGACTCTTTAATTTCTTATAACAAACAAAGAGCGCCGTACAAAAAATTCAACTCGCTAAAAAAACCTAGCCTGAACGTTAAAAATTTGATCCCTTTTGTAATATGTGGAAATTCTCAAGGAAACGTTAAATGATCAGATTTTTCAAAACAAACACCAAACGCCGAAAACACAAAATTTATGCAACTTTATTACTCCTCATCTTGAAAAAGATTGTGATTCAGCAATTTTTGTCTTAGAAACGCATATAGTCAGTTAAAATTACGCGATAAAACAAGCAAACAAGGAAACATTCATTCAGTATGAATGAAAGCACTGGCACATACCGCTTTGTAACTGGTTTTATAAACTTGTCAATCTGCCCAATTATTTTCATCGGGTCATGGGCATGCCTGTTAAAGACATACCGGTTACCAACTGATAGACAGAGGATAGTTTTGCCTCAAAATGTAAGTAGACAAACACAAGTCAATTTCAATGAAACTTTTAAAAATTTAGAAAACAATAAAGGCGCTGAAGAAAAACCGCATTTTCCAAGAAACCTGAGTGATTAACAATTAAAAAATCTGAGAAGGGAGTAAATGCATTGGTTGAAATGTTCAAAAACTTAACCAACGCGAACATTATCTCTGAAGTACAATCTCTTTTTGGTTCAGTTAACAATTAATTGGAAATTTTTTCCTGCTCTATTAAGCTTAGGTTACCCGTTAAACCCAATTTTGAACAAACAATTAGTTTACAATTGGATTAAATCACACTCACACTCAAACGCATTCAAAGAACTGAAGAACCGCATCATTATTTTCACCGGAAAAAAATTGTTTCGATTTGAAGAAAACTTCATGTTCAAAGACTGATGCTTCACGTGACGGACTATATGCAACTTTTGAACAAATGGACAAAGAATCCTAGAGCGATCACTACAGCGTTTGCACCCACAATCATAAACTCCCACGAGATAAAGTGTTCGAGGACGGAATTAGAAGAGGTGGCGCGGGCAAAAGAAAAGTTCTAGAAATATTTTTTCTTATGGTTCAGAGTTTGAAATCGCAACAGAACATAAAGCTCTTCTATTTTCGTTAAACAATAATCAAGGTAATAAGACAAATCATAGCAGGTCAGTAAATTAACTCGGTGTATAAATCAATTGCTTCTGTTGTATTTCTAAAGACGTCATATGCGAGGGAACTCAATGGGGCATACTTAATTAGTTTCTAGGTTCCCTTTCAAAAAAAACCTTACCTACTTCACAATAATGAAATTGTGCTTGCAACAATCAACAAGCTCTCCTAAAACTAACTTGTAAAAAAGTTTTAAAAAGAAGAAAGGAGAAAAGTTTATGAAGAACGAAATTCATGAAGAACAACATTTTTGGAAAACAGAATATTTCACAAGCAGTTGCATCACTTCGGTTGTTCCAAAATTAGATTTTAATTTTTTTTTATCGGATAAGTGTTGGTGTTTTTTATCAACAACTTCACTCGAGTTAAACTCACTTATACACTTCTTGGACAAAAACAAATTTATTCTCCTTGTTCGAGTTCAGGGTTCAAAAACTGATAATTTCACACAAAAAAAAGGAATTTGCTGTAAACTTTTTGACAAAAAGTGTCTCTGATCCTTTGAAAACTATTTTCGACTCTGAGCTAGAATTGTTTTTGTCCCCCGTCCTTTGCACCAACCCTTGCTCAAAAAATATTAAGGAATTCGATGGCAAGTTAAGAAAAGATCGTGAGATTGGTTTAATTTGCAGTAGAGTTAGGAAAGCCTCTGGAGAAATTTGAGGCTCATTTCGATTTTAGAAAGGACAAATTCTCGCTCATCGACAAAAATTGGTTGTTTCCGCAGCTGTTCTTTCTTTTTTTTATGACCCACCTTTAGGAGAAATATCGGGGACAGTTTGGAACGAAGGCCGTGGTCGATAATAACTGGTTGTCTGCATCTGTACAGAGAGCTCTTTTTATCATCACGGTAGAACTGGCTTGAAGTGCGTAAAAACCTCCGAATGATTCTGAGAGCCTCAAAAAAGGAAAAAAAACGATAGATTTGGAAGCGAACGAAGAAACCGAGAAAAGTTTTGCGGGTCATTGAATGAATTGTGGGGCGTACACATGCAACGATCGGTTTTCAAAACTTCCTCGGCCGAAGGTGATGAATACTACGTCGACTCATGCAAATGTAAACTTTTTAGAAGACCATGCTTATCTTCAGAGATTTCCAAAATCAGTCAGACTGAACCAACGGTCATGTTTTTAGTTAAAGTAATTTAAAAAAATTCTGCAAGTAGAACAGTTTTAATTTAGTTTTATAAAAGGGATGAGAGACCCAACAGAATGGTTAAAAAATTGTTCACACAGTAAAAACTAAACTGCTCGCCTTGTCTCTTGACGAACCAAATCGAACTCCAAACGCAGCAACCAATAAAACAGTTCGAGTTTTTAGGTTTACAAAACAACCGTCAATTGAATGGTTTCCGTTAAAAGTTCTCCTAAATCTTAAAAATTCTCCTATAACTTTGTGGAAAAACCTGGTCACCTGTTCAGTTGGCTTAAACAAAAAAAGTCAACCAAGTCAACCAAAAATGCACGGGAAAGACCAAAAAAGAACAACTTGAAGCTGGGTACCTCAACATTTGCCCATCGGATGAGAAAAGGCTATTATATGACGGCAAACAACAGACTGAGAGTCCTGTCAATGAACCCATTTCTGCAAAGGAGTTAACTGGCTAAGAAAAACAATGAACCGAAAAAAGGGACAGTCTAACTGCACAGATCTTACGGTAGCCCTCGATAACGGACACATTCTTAGGAAATCGGATTTCGCTTTCTGACCCAAAAACACCCCGGCACCAACAAAATCTGAAGGAAAAATTCAACCATCCTTTATCATGCCTAGATTAGCAGGTTGAAGAAAGACCAACAGACAAGAGTCGGACTGACAAGACCATCATCTGAAAATTCAACCTCGCCAGAGTCCTTTGTTGATCGTAGCCAGCTCATTTTCCGCGGACGTGGAAGAAACTCACATGACCAATTGAGCGTCAGTGTTAGACACAGATATCAAGACACAGACTGACTTCTTTCACAAATACTTAAATAGAAGCCAGAATCTTTCTTAAAATCAAATCTTCCATTTTTTGAAACGGTATGATTCCAGATTATAATTTGTGTTGAACCAGTTGGGAAATCTTTTTTGTTTAATCTGAAAGAAAACTCTTATCGTTTTATAATTCTTTCACTCGTAACATTCGTTTTTCTAAATTTATCATAAAATCTATAAAAATGCTTAGTAGCCTGGTCTTCGGGGAGCTTTTCTCGCTGAAACGAATCAAAGTTTTTCATCAAGTTTTCTTGTTCTAATCTCTTGAGCCTATTCAGTCAACTTGTATTAGTGGTATCGTAAAACTGTATTAATCCTTTTTAAGAAACATCGAAAAATTCCCTTACCCGAAGAAGAAAGTGAAATCTTACTATTATGAAAAAGGCTGCAGCTACCAGTTAATCCTATTTTTCAGGGCTGACACAGCCACCAGTCGTACATCTCTATTAAAAAGTTTTTGCTTAAAAAACAAATAACTCTCCTGAATCTATGCCATGCAAATTCAAGAAACCACAAAAAATCCAATCGTGAATTTGTGAATTTTGTTATTGTTTTTGACCGTTTTCAAAAATTTCTGGCAGTGACGATGTAGGCAGTATAAAATAATCGATTTGAGGAGTAGTTTTGAGGAACTTAATATAACATGTAATAATGGACTCTGTTTTTGTTTGAAAAAAGTTTTCAAGATGGTATGTTCAAATGAATTTAGCAGTGTTTGATCTAACAAGCCTTTCCATCTTTTTTTTCAAAAAGTGAGAAAACATATTTACATCCCATACATTTTTTCCGCAATAGGCAGAATTTAATTTGAAAATATTAGCTTTTTTCTTCTATAATTTTTCTATGAGATAAAAATTCTATACACGGTTTTTTCAAAAAAAAAATCCTCTTTTTTCCTCACCTGACTGTTTTACTAGAATCAAAGAGTCGCAGAAACTAGTTTATATCTTATTTCAACCATTTTGTGAAACTGTATGAAAATTGTATGACACGCAGTTTTCCATACACTTGATGTATGGAATTGTATGATTAGAATTTTCGGTGTATGGAGGTCAACCCGGGTAGCGAATGGCAAATAGCACAAACGATCGGATTAAATTGATTTAAAAAATCAAAAATTGAACCTTTTTCGAAATATTGAAAAATCCAAATCAAAATGTAATTGAACTATCACCAAAAAAAATCAGTTTAAATTTAATGACATAAAAAAATTTCAAATTTAGTTTTTCTGCGCAAGCAGTTTTTTTCGATTTTGAAGAAAAAGCCGAATATTTAAGCTTGGGCTGGTTGTTCTATTCAATCAATTTTCGACTTTCTAATAATTGAGTGTTTTTGGTATTTTTTCTACACTACCTATTGAAAAAAGCGTATGTCAGTAGCTCAAATGTAGAAAACTCATGTGTGATCAATTTTTGCAAAGTTTTGGGGGTTTAAAAATTGTTTTTATCAATTTGGGATAATTAATGCGCGCTGAATTGCGTTCTCATATAATGCTTGAGCGGCTGATTGATATGTTCCAAATTCAACTGAAGCTAATTATTTGGTCTGGCCAATAAAATAAGAGATGCTGAAGACATCATTCTTTAGTGTAAAATAGCGAAAAAGTGCACATTAGCGAAAAATTGTACATTACTGCTTCTTTTTTCTCCTATTTCGCCATTTCGTAAACCAAAAACATTTTTAATTTGCTTCAAGTGTTGTCGGATCATTCAGGGCGACGACAACACTTCAAACAGGTTGTTAAGTGTACACAACCTGTTCGAATCTCTACCATTGCAGCATCATGTTCAAAAAATCAAGACTGCGAAGCGCTTAATTTTCCGACTGCCTTTTAAGCTCTATGAAGTATTGTTTGCTTTGAAAATATCGATGAACTTTTCAAAAAATAAAAATGAAAATTTTCAACGCTGTGTTAAGTACAAGGTGGTATGTTAAGATAAAGCGAACAATTAAAAAGACATTCCAATCAAGGATGCATCAATTCACTTTGGAACGACTTCTAAGACAAATTAACGGACCATATTTGACTATACAAATGGACTATTTTTTACTCAAAGTCCCTCACACAAAAAAAAATCAGATGAAGTAGAGAAAAGTATCACTGATGAACTTTTTCTTTTTCTGTTCTAGGAATATTTTTGGAATTATTGTTCCGATTTTCGATACGAAAGTAACGGAATATTTGTGCTCGGGGTGGTTTTTTTTTTCTTCAGGCAAATTTCGACTTTTTAACTAGCCATTTTTGACGGAATTTTTTATTTAATTCAACAGGTATTGTTGTCCTGAGCTCAAATTTGAAAAAATATTTCACCTGTGATCATTTTTCGTAAAGTTATAGGGGTTTAAAGATTGCCTTTTTGGCCAATTTGGGACAATTAACGCGTAAGCGGAGAGTTAATCCGTCTTAAAATCGTTCTAAATTGGTTGAAAGAACCTTATTTGCCATAATTGATTTGATAAAAGGAGCTAAATCTATCTTTTTGTTTTTTGAATGGCGTGTGGGGGGATGATTTTTATCCAAAAATTTTCATTTTATTTTATTACATTTAGTTTTTTAATGTTATTACTGCTCCATAAAACCTTAAAAGGCAGTCGGAACATTCAGGGCTTCGCCCTGATACGAGCGAGCAGTCTTGTTATTTTTAAAAAAGGTACTGCGAAAAAATGCGAATGTGGCTCATTTCGTCCCCTACACGTTTCGCCCCTCATAATTTCACTCATATTTTCCTTTCACGTTGTGTTTCTAATTTTGTTGCACATTTGAAGTTATATAATCACGTTTGAAACTAGATTTAGGATTTGAGGGGCGAAATGTGTGTGGGGCGAAATGAGCCAATAATTTCATTAGCGGTGAAACGTATCTCGGATGAAATGGATGAATACCAGAAAATACGGTTTGTAACTACGACTAACCCATTCTTTGCAGGTAAATGGTGCTGCTAATGGGGAGGGGCTGGGAGTTAACAATAAACAGGACCTTCTGACTGCGATTGAGAGAGCAGAAGTGATCAGTAGTCATCTGAATGAGAAGCTACAGCTAGACGACCACGAGAGTCAGCTCAAGTGGCTGCAGGAACATGTGCTATGGGGACCCAACACAGAAGTAAGTCCATTGAGGCATTATCGCTTCACATGTTTGTTCGTTTTTTCGCCGAAACCTAAACGATTCCGGTTATTTTTCCTATTCATTCGCATCGCATGAGCATTAATTTTATGATGTTACGAGTTGTTTCATTTTTTAAGTATGAGAACCAGATATGATATTAACTGAGGAAAAAACTCCGATTCGGATAAGATTCAATGCATTTCGGTAAAAACCATGATCAGGAAATTCTGAATTGAAACAAAAACTGCACATAAAGTTTGTAAGATGCATAAAACTAAGAATTAAAAATTAGGTGAAATTCACCATAACAATACACAATGTGTTCCGTTCGCTCAGTCCGCTGCTCCTCAGAACTTGATGGTCAGCTCTTTTTTTCTGTACTCGTCCTTCGTATTGATTGTCGGTAGTCTTTGAGCTATTTCTAGTGCTTCTGGAGTCAGCAAAGTATTCTGGTTGGCGTGAGAGTTTATAATTTTCGTTGATCCCAGAACAGCCTTAAGGAAAACGCCATAGGTGATGCAGTGGCAAATATGATATTTTTCATGAGTTGATTAGTCGCATGTCAATTTTCAAAAACGTCGGACAGTTTGAAACAAAAAATTTACTTGGAAAGAAAAAAAGCCGTGATACTCAACGCCGATTGTATCTCAGAACTTTGATTTCGTTTCACTAGCTGAGTTACATTCACATGACTTGCTTGATAATTCTTACAATTACTCATGTCGTCCAGAGCAACGAACCACATTTTAAAATATGTTCTTATCAACCCTTGCAGAAGAGTGGCAAAAAAAAATCTTTTTTCTTTTTCTAGAATGAAAGTTTCAAATCGGTGGACCTGACGATAAAACCTATTGAAAGCTAGTCCTCCATAGATTGGAAAAAGTAGGCGTTGCTCGCTCAATTTAATGAAAACTTTTGTGCCCGTTGTTATTAATCTCTGCAAGCTAAAAACCTTCAGCATAGCCGGTACAAAAACTTCTTTAAAAGCCTGACTAAACACTGTAAATGCAGTTTAAATTGTAATTTTTTTTTTCAGGATATCACCCTCACTTCGAACACAAATGAACTGGGCCCTCGCAAACTCTTCTATTATGGACATCTTGTCAAGGTAAGGCACAATATCACCAACTGATGGAAACGAAAATGTCTATGTGAGGTCTCAAAGACTTGTCCGAAACACGTCATATCAGGGGGATTTAGGGAGGGGGCGTCGAACGCCCTGTTTGAGATTAGGCATCTCAAACAGGATGCGGTAGGTGGGCGCCTTTCTGCATTCAGGGATTCAACACCCTGCCGTCCCAAAGGGTCCCCCCTTTGTATTATTTTGAGATACCAATTTTTAGTGACGGACCCTAAAAATTTTCTGATGGGGCCCCTGGCGCCAATATATACTAAATTTGAGGGGGGAGATTGCGCCAAAAAACTCAAGGTTTTGGCTAAAGTTTTCAAAGCCTTTTTTGCTAGTTTTTGCCCAATATGGTCTTTTTAGTGCTTTGCGAGAGCTCGGAAAATCAATTTGGTCGACCAAAAAATGTGTCATATGCCGAATTATTGTTGTAACTCGATTTTTTTCAGACTTTTTGGCTATTGTTCCAACTTTCGATGCGAAAGTAACGGAATATTTGTGCTCGGGGTGGTTTTTTTCAGACAAATTTCGACTAGCCATTTTTGACAAACCTTTTTATATCTTTCAAAAAGTATTGTTGTCCTGAGATTAAATTTGAAAAATATTTTACTTGTGATCTTTTCTTGTAAAGTTATGGGGGTTTAAAGATTTCCATTTTGGTCAATTTGGGACAATTAACGCGCGATATATTTCTCCCTTTAACGCTTAAGCGGAGATTTAATTCGTTCTAGAAATCGTTCCAAATTGATGTGTTACTAGGTGCGAAATCTATCACTTTGTACTTAAAATGGCGCGTGGGTGGATGATTTTTGCAAAAATTTTAAATAAACAAAAAATATTTTTCTATTTTACATTTAATTTTTCATGTTATTACTGCTCCAAAGACTTTAAAAGGCAGTCAGAACCCTCGCGGCCTCGACCTGATACGAGTAGTTTTGTTTGTTGTACGATTGAATTTTTTGAGCTCGGCGTGGTTTCTCATCCAGACAATGTAAACTGTAGTCAAAAATTTTGGACGTAATATTTTAAACCATCAATTTATTGGTTGAAAGAAGCTTATTTGCCATAATTGATTTGTTACAAGGAGCAAAATCTATCCATTTGTACTTTATATGGCGCTGTGGGGGGATGAGTTTCATTTAAAAATTCAAATTTTAGAAAAAAAAATTCATTTTCTTTTATTACATTTAATTTTTTAATGTTATTACTGCTTCATAGACCTTAAAAGGCAGTTGGGACATTCAGGGCTTCGCCCTGATACGATCAATCTTGTTCGTTTATGGACACACATTTTACTTTACCAAAATAAAACGAAACGAAAAAACGTTGAGCTCGAATGATGATCAAATGTCTTTTTTCTGCAACAAAAATAATATATGTATACTTTCGCATAAAACCCCTCATTTGCTTTTAAATGTATCATGCAAGGTGATGAAATTATATTGGTGTATTTAAAAGCGTTCTCGCAATGAGATTTCATATAGTTGTAAATGTTCTGAATTTTCCAGTGAATGAAACCTTAGTTGCAAACAATTTATTGTGATTATTATGATGAAGTTATCGGCGCATTTCAGTCTAAAAGTGGGAAGCATCTGTTCGTATTTCTGTTCAACGACTTCCTCCTCCTCACAGAGAGCATGTGTGCGTGGCACGATGCCCAGAAGAAGCTGTTCGACGCCAGGTGTCATGAGCCATACCTCACCCAATACAGACAACCCATGCTAATCACAGACGTACAAGCATTCAACTCCTCCTCCGGAGTACTCGGTTAGTCATTCCATGCTGATTTAAATTATCTGACAAAATGAACATTTGAATCACTTTTTTCATTCATCTGATCATTTTAAGAAAAAACGAACAAGACATAAATTGTTCAGACACTAAAGCTTCGCAACTTTTCAATCGACAATATAAAATCTAAAATTGAGTTCCTTTTGGCTCGATTTGTTGATAAAAAATACGCTTTTCTTTTCAAACCAAATAGTACCAAATGAGTGTGCTAGTTCCCACATAACGTCTAGTAAAAATATTGTGTCAAAAATCAACCACATTCAAGAACCTAAACGTTTCCAAGTGCGCCAGATTTAACAAAATCGAGCAGAAGAAATAGTCCAAAAATAGAAAAGTTAGTTTTTTGCACAACAAATTTATTATAATGTAAAGAGAACACTTAAAAAGTTTTGATTCAGTTTGATTTGGAATGAATTTGGTGTTTGATTAAATGGCTTCTTACCAGGAAAATTGTTGCGCAGAGAAAATTTTTTTTCACGTTTTTCATGTTTTTTAATTTCACACAAAAACAACAACCTCAAATAAATTTGCGATGGTGCAGAGCAATATACTCTAACAGACCCTTTTGAGCTGTGGTTCTAGCTTTAGTCAAGAAATTTTGCCGGGAAGAAGCTTATCAAATAGGCGGCTTTTACAAAGAACAAATAATGCAATTGTCTCTTCGGTTGAAGCTAAATCCGCTTAGTCAAAGCGGTATTTCAATTGAAACAATTTTTTTTGTTTATTAAGCTCTTAGTGGTTTCTTAGTGAGGCTTAATTTACAGCCTCGACAACCACCCGCAATTTCCTATAAATTGAAAAAATTTTAACGAATTAAATTTTAAAAAAAGGTTTTTGCTTTGTTAACTTATTTTTTTTGCTGAGAAGCAATGTTTAGACAATTTGTGCTTGTTACACAGCCACTGAAAATTCTGGTTATACTCAAATGAAAGCATTGGTGGTTTTTTGGTAGTAAAATTTATGAAAATTTTTAATCAGATTATCCAACTGTGACTTCTGGCTTCTACAAAAACAAATAAAAAATAAAATTGATTTTCTTGATGTTTTACAGTTTTTATGGAAGTTCAAACGTTTCGACAGTTTTTAATTATTTTTTTTGAAAGTTTTGCGCAAACAGAAAAATTGAACCCAGAATTTTTGTAGATATTTCATACTTTGACTGTTTTCTTAATGCAGAGTATGATGCAGCAAAAAAAGACAAGGTTGAGAAACGTATATCTTAAGTTGCGATTTCAGTTGTTTCAATCTTCTGAAGTCATTTATGCTGAATTTTTCTCGTTCTAAGCTTTTGTCTAGTTCCGCTCATCTCACCACGCACATAAACTACACAAATTAGAAAAAAAAATTAATTGTTAAGCTTATATGAATGTGCTTGGAAGGTTTTCTGCTACTTGCACGCTAACCGACTACATCAACAAACTTATTTTCTCTACTTAAGGATAAAATTTTTCTATCATGATTAAAAAGTCATCAAAATTATAAAATATTTTTAAAATTTCGAGTAAAATCGATGAACATGTAATTGTAAACTGTTTATGTTTCAGATATTCGGTGTTTGAAACGTATGAATTGGACGCGAAACAAGAAATTAGCGCATGCTTTTTTGTTTGATAACTACTTTGCCTGCAATTGGCGAACATTTAATTCTGCTCATAAAACTAAACCTAGTCTAGGCTTAAAGTCTTTCAGCTTACGCTAAACCGCATACTGACAAAAACAAAATAGTTTAGGCTAGACGTCAGAAAAAAGCGATAGAATCCTGTCTCGACATTGTCTTGGCAAAATTTTGCAGCATTTTTATCTAGAAGCTTACTCACACTTCATTAATTGAGCACAAAAGCTAGACAGCTTTTCTTTTTTTGCTATTTTCTTCTTTTAATTTTTTCGGAAATTTAATTTTTTTTCTGCGCCAATTAGCAGACCAATAAAAATGATGATTTTGTCTAACTAATATGATTTGCCGATGAATTGTTATTCCGCATACTAACTTTGATGGAAAAATCTATCATCATTAGAATTTTTGTTCAATTTTCCAGGCTCAAAACAAAATTTCTATCCTAAAATTGTCAAGATTTCATCATCAAAAAAATTATTTTATTGATAGATGTAAATTAACTACCGACAACTTTTTTTACATCGTTAGGTGTTGATAAATTAGTAGTTTCTCAAACCATGAATCTGAAAAAAATGCATTTTTTAAACTTGCGTTTTTTTGATGAAACAAAAATTTGAATAGTTTTTTTTTCAGCTTAATTTGCAATAACCAGTCGAAGCCATAATTTTTCATCTGGAAAAGATGCTATACGTTGATGTTAATAATAATTATATTTACAAATTTTCAATTGTTTTTCGAGATAGCTCTGATTTTTTGTTGAAAGCTACTGTTGGTCACGTGTTGGAGGAAAGAGGTATATTGCTATTGTCAAATATGTATCAGACCATCAAAATCTCTTCTTTCCCAATTATTAAGACATACCCATCAAAAAATTAAAAACGATAGCAACTTTTAATAGGAAAAAAGGCCTATTTTTAACCATTGGCTCTCAGATTTGTGAATGAGGTAAACATTTTTAAGCAGATAATTTTTTAACAGGCACCGATTGAAAATAGCTTGTACTCAACATTCCGTATGCAAAATCTGACCGGAAAAGCGAAAAAGAAGTAGAGGTTCGGCACCATCAGTGGACTTTCGATTTGTCTAATATCATTACTGGAAAGAAAATACAATACTAAACTTAAGCTCGTTTTTTTGTCAGTATTTTCATTAGTTTCAGTAAATTTTCGACTACCGAATTGAAGGAAAATGACATAAAATTACATGCGGTTATAAAATTGTACTTGATGGAAACCCAGCCTTAATTGAAAATACAGTTCTTGTAAATAAAAATGTACGGTTGACAGTGCAATTAAAACAACGCTTCCTCAATTTAACCCCTACACCTATTCGAGTGTTTGCAGTTGAATTTTGCAAATAGGTTTTTTAATCTCCGATTGACACAATTCTTCTACCCATTTGTTCTAAATGTAACTCCAAGGAAGTTAACTTGATCCCCATCCGCCGTATAATGCTCTCTCTCTCTATCTCTTCTATCTTCAATACCCCCTGTTCTTTACCCCAAAATACGCGTTTAATGTATATTTTCAGAGGGCAAATAAAAACCTATTAAAATCTTCAGGCGAATACATCATTAAAATCTTTTATTGTGGCCCATTAGATAAGCCTTTTTTCGACGTAATCAAGGCTTAAATAGGAAGTTCTTTGTCTCACTTGAACAATCTGAAATAGCTGAAATTGTCCTTTTGTCAAAAGGACTATCCATTAATCTACTTTTTTGCACCACGTTTACATTTAATGGTTCCATCTGGTTCATTTTTCACAGTTACAAAGAAAACCAATTGTCGAATTTACCTCATGTAATGTTTCTTGAAGCCTATAAATATGCCATTTACCATCATGAAAGATATAGCCATGATAGCTTGCAAATTAACGATTGTTCTTGTTTTAGGTCTGGACAATCACATTTCTTTCGAATACCGGCTGAAAAAATACACTCTTAAGGCTGATGGGGCCGCCAAAAGGTCAGTTTTAGAAGCAACTCTGAAAATCTTCGCTGAAAACTTAAAAATACTCGAATTAAAAGCTCGAATACTCGACTAATACACTCGAATACTCGACAATATTTGTTTATGCATTTTCTGCAATTAGTGTACGCCAAAACAATGTATTGATGCGTTATTTTTCCCACAATTATGTTAGGTAATGATTGGAAGGCTCGTTTTTACACTTGACTTTCAATAAAAAAATTAGGTTCTGTATAAAAAACTTCTAATTTTACTAACACTTAAATGCTTGGTAGCGAAAAACTTAAAATCGAATTATTTGAAAAAAGAGTTTTCACTCGCTTTCAGTCGTTTTCAACGTGAAGATTTTTTCATAATTAATGTTCTGAAAGTTTTGTATGATTTTTCTAGGAAAAGTTGGATGAGTGCCCTTAAACATGCGATCTCTGACTACGTGGAGATGGTGGGAAAGCGAGAGAGAATCGTCGGCTGTCCGGACGGGAGGGGACTGATCAAGATAGAGGTGCTGCATGCTGAAAATGTCGCCATTCTCTCAGGTAACAAAAATGACGCTGGCCTGAAATGTCAACAGGTTTTCTTTGCCATCCCAAGCAAAGGCTTTCATTTTGATTACAAAATAACTCAAACACATTCATGGTTACGTTGCAAATAGTAGACAGTTCATAAAGTAGATGCGTCAATTCTGATTTGGCTTCCGACGTGTCTACTTTTTGTCATGTCTACTATTAGACTGCCCTCCCGCAGAAAAGTACCAAAATTATCTAGTATCAAAAAACGGAAAAATCTAGTATCAAAAAGTACAAAAAAAATCTAGTATCAAAAAATACAAAAAAGATCTAGTATCAAAAAATATCAAACAGATCTAGTGAAAAAGTACACAACATATCTAGTATCAAAAAGTACCAAAACGATCTAGTAAAAAGAACAAAAAAAGATCTGGAATCAAAAAATATCAAAAAGATTTAGTATCAAAAAATACAAAAAAGATAAGTGGAATTGCCTTCAGACAATAAAGACGCCAGCCTCCTCAGTCCTTATGTCAAAATCACCCTCGGAGACCAGACCCTGAAGACGCCAGGGGCGAAGGAGGGGGAGGGAGGGGAGAAGCCTTCTTGGCACTACCCTGGTCAACTGGTGTTCTGTGACCTGGAAAAAGAGACTATGTGGATCGCACTCTACATCAAGCGCAAATTTGCGCCAGATGGTAAGTCGTAAGCCAAGTCGGTTGGCCCATCTAATGCTCTTGCGAATAGGACTTTCTGTTTCTAGTCTTACAAAACATGTTAGCTATCATGATGTTTATGATACTGAGCGTAATCGCTCTTGTAGGGCAACGTACCATAAACGTGGAAATATAGCCGCCAATGGACAATAGTTAGCTTACAGAAACTGCAACCAGAGCAAAATAAACAATGATGAAATAACAAAACCTATCTTGCAAATAAGATGAACACAACTTCGAATCCTTTAGTTTTAACAATTGCTCTCGACTTTCAACTTGAAAAAAAATTTAAAGTAATATTTTCCGCAAAGCTTGCAGAGATTTATTACAAGCTACAAAAATTATGCCCTGTATTTAACTTTACAGTCACATCTTCCTGTTCTGACAGAGTACGTATGCGCCAAAGAATTCCCCCTCACATGTCTACCTGCAAGTGGGGGCAAAGTATCCAAAGAGCAGGACTTCGACCTCGGAGACGGACAGGGTACAGTCAAACTCAAAGTCCTTGTTAGCAAGTTTCAATCTTGACGCCAACGTAGCTGACATCTTATGTCGCCTCAACCCAAAAATGTGAATTCAACCCGAAAATGTCGCCAAATCCCTTTAGTTTAAATCAACAGTTTTATATCATAGAACTTGATGGAATTCGGAAGCCGAAAAGTGCGATGCAAACTATAAATTAAAATTTAATTTTCATTAGTTGCAAAAAATGCATAATGTTTCTGCAATCTAAATGATTAAATAATTAATGTCAGATTACGTGCAATTGGATAATGTTTTTATAATAGTACTTTTCCCGAAAAAAGCCCCCAAATAAATTGAGAAGAATTGATAAATGAGCTCTCTCTCTCTCTCTCTCTGCTCATTAAAGGGGATTAATTGTTAGTACGATCTCAACAATGAGCACCGATAATGATGAGCGAATGACACAGATTTCGCCCTCCTGCAGATTTAAGATTTTTACCTAGAAGAATCTAGTTGACAGAATTCATCCTATTGAAAGTTTGGTTCTTAAGCAAAAAGTTTCGCTCAGTTGGCTGGCGGTGGCGTTGATCATGCGCATCGGCGCTACGCACCAATAACGTTCAAGAGTTTTTAGAAACAGCTCGATTTGACCTCTGTGAAATGCTAGTCATAACGATCCACAAAAAATGTGAAAATATTTCATCATGCTAGTCATAAAATTTCATAAACTTTTTAAAACTATCATAAAAACGTATTTGATAGAATTACTTTTAGTTTTCTTTTTGCAATGGGTATCATTTAGCTTATATAGTATGGCTAGATGCCTCTTTTTGATGTCTAAAATCAAAAGTATCCCAAATAGTCTTTTAAAGACGAAACTTTTTTTTTCTATTTTTGATGCTTTACTAGATAGCAGTTATTGAAAACGACTTTATCAAATACTGCATCTTTTTATATGCTCTGAGCAGTCAACTTTTAGATCGTTTTTTGCTTTTCGTGATATTCATTTTGAAAAGCATTTCAAGGCCTATTGCATACTAGTTTATGCCCTGAGCAGCCGATTTTTAAGTCAAAACTATAGTAAACTTAAGAATAGACGGTTACTATGCAAGTAGCGCAGAATGTTCCCGTTCCGACCACAGTCTTAACAAAATACAAAAAAACTTTAAATTTAGTCTCGTGTTTTCTGCATGTTGTGATAAACAAAAAGCTCTCAATGAAAAAAAGAATTTAAGCATCTTTGAGGGTCATAGCAAAATAGGTCAACTGGAAAACAAGTTTTGAAAAAAAATGACTAGACAAACAAAAAAAATATTTGAAAAAATTTCAAAACATTTTTCAAATCTTTCAGCTCGATGCCAATCTGTGCACTGATAGGCGCACAATTTTTTGCTGTATGTTCCTGGATTAAGCTTTTGTCGGAACGATTACAAGAAACGAAAGAACAAAAAAAAATATTGTCCTTGTTGCGGAATCCACTTACAATTTACAAAATGCACAGTTTGGCCTCGTAATGTTTGCAGATTTTTTTTTTGTAATTTTCCAAAGTTTTGATACCCAAAATTGCGCTAAAATCTCCAAAAAGTACTTTTACTTGAGTAAAACTAAGTTTCCAGGGCTTATATTAAGCTTAAATAAGCTATTCCAAGTATACACGCTAACATTATTAGCTCGAAATTAGACCAAACATCAAAAAATTCAAACCGGTTTTTCTCGTCACTGTGAAAAAATTTTCAACAATTTTAAATGTAGTTCGAAACACGACTGAAAGGCCTTTAATATGATATTTACTCAAATACAAAGAGCCTTCTATTTTCAATGGTTGAAACAAAAATACCATCATCAAGAATTTTAGCCAAAGTTCTTAAGTTTGATATGTTTTTCCACAATATTTCCTAGTTTAAGCTTGTTCAAAATATTTGTATTTTGTATAAGAAATTGAAAAATCAGTGATTCAATTTTAAAGTGACACGTTTTTTCACATAGGTTTTAATACTAGCAAACTAAATAATTATAAAGAAAAAGTAAAGTTAAATGAAACATCGCTTTTAGTTTAAAAAAAGTTCAATTCAATAGAGAAACGCAAAAAATTGACTGATTATTTTTTTCGCCGTGATTTTATGGCATGTTTAATTGTCTGAGTTGCTCTTTCTGCCAGTCCATTTGCTCTTGGACAGACGATGTTTCCAACTCTGGAAATCGTGTCTCGTGACTGCCATCGCACAACCCGTACCTTACAAAAATTCAAAAATCAGATTTGATCTGCTTAAAAACCTGACTTTTTCCGATCTTGGGCAGCTCTAACCAATGTTTCACTTAAACATCGGCGCGTCAGTTTCAGTTCTGGGACAGATATGGATTTTTTCAGATGACCAGACCTGCTCTAGATCAGAAATAGACCTGCTCACATGTGGAGCGAGCATGGATAGGTCAGGTCTGGTTCAGACCTGTACAGACCTGGAGCTGTTCTGCAAGGTTAGATCTGAGAAGTATGGTTGATTTTTTTCCAGAATTATACCAGTTCTTTTTATATCTCAATAGTTAAAGTCAAAGAAAGCCGGACTGGCCGAAAAATTTATTTTATTTTTTGTTAATCCGAATTCGTAACCAATTTAAACCACACGAAAAAAACTCAGAAGACAAAAAAAAGACCATAAATACAAATGTACAACAAGTGGTCGTTACAAGGAATGATGATTCAGTGGGAAAATTATTGAGGTTATGAATAAACAAAAAAAAATTGCTGAAAACAAAAATTTAACTTCTAAGTGAAGTTGAAAAACACTTTTAAGAGGGATGATAAATCAAATTCTTCATGAACAAAAATAAATCCTGAAAACGTTCCAAGTTTCTAGTTGAAATCATAGAAAATTATTTTAATTTGTCTTTAAATGCAACTAACTGAACTTTACAATGATGCGGCAACTGCCATCTGAACAAAAAAATTGGAGTAAAAAAATGCCATTAATTTGTTTCAATTCTTCCAGTATGAACATATCCTAACCAAGTCTGAACACAGTTTATCGAGACCCATCCTTGTCTATTTCTACTTCTACTTTTGAACATGTGATGACCAAATTCGACAATAAATTCTTCGAATTGATTGGTCTTATCAGTTTGAAACAAAATCAGGCATTGTATAAAAATTAGGCTGAAATTATAAACTCTTCGCAAGACCCATATTGTTATGAAATGAAACTATCGTAACTGAGCATTGAGCTCCTTTTTTTTTCTTTTGTAGACTTACCAGGCACTACTTTTTTATCTGTTTTCATAGATGATACTATTTGCACGAAGTCAGTTGAGTTGGAAAGTTTAAAAAGACAAAAACATCGGCTTTGTAATGTAATCAACATTATATTTTTACACTTCCTGACTACTCACAATTCTTGACGAGCATCAATGCAATGGATATGCCATGAAGATTTTTTTGAGATCGATGTCTGTAATAAGTTTTGCTCAAAGCCAGTTAGTAATTATAGTGGTTATCAGTGGGAAAAATACACATTAAAAAAAGATAAATGATTAGAATAAATATCTTTTGTTCCGTGATCTCATTTTTGGTTCAATTTTAGTAAAAATGTATTCAAAATACACATAGCATCGCTATCATGCATAGGATTGGTTATTATCATGAGAATCTATTGTGGTTGACACATTTTGACAGTTGGATGATTTCAACTGATAATAAAGAGACGTCAAAAAGTGTAGAATCACTTCTAAACCAACTTAATACGCTTCAAAATACCAGATAATTGTATATATTTATATACCTTTGTGTTTCATACTGAGAGTTTTAACTTCGATGAATTTTCAGATCATCTCATTCTCCTTCCTTTTCCAAGAAGATCTGTTGGGATTGGATCGCCATAGTGTTTAGTTGGTTTCCGGAATCTTGGAGATCGGTTGGGCTCGTCTGAGAACGGTTCAGGTTGATAGTGTGGAGTTACTGAAGTTTGTTTTTCGGTTTCATAGTGCATTGAAGTTTCATCGTCGACAATGTCACTCGTTCCATCCATGGTATTGATCTCATGACTACATCTTGCAATCTGATTGTCGTTTACAAGAAAAGTCTGTTCGGGTTGATGGGGTTGTATCAGGCTGCGTTGCTTTGTAGCTTCCACAACGAATGATGAAAACTACAGGCTGGGCTTTCTTGTCTTTGCTCGACTTAAAAAGACTTTTTCAAATACGTCAATATCTATGCTGGTATGTAATCTGATGATTTCGTCCGCAACCAAGTCAGCTGATCCTTTTCCCTTGACGTTAGAAGTGTTTTTTTGCGTCATTAGTACTGGTTGGAGTGATTTTATGTTTAATTGTCCGAGTTGCTGTTTCTGCTAGTCTACTTGCTCTTTGGTGGTATATCGGTGATTCCATTTTGTGAAACCCTGACACTTATGCCAAGCTTTGAAGTCATCGCTCACATATTCGGATCCGTTGTCTTTCAAAGACTGCTGGCAGACCTTTCCCAACAGTTACAGTAGTTCTTTCGTTGACCGGCAATGCTTCCATCCAGTCACTTCCTGCGTCAAAAACAACTAATATTTTCCCCTGCTTTTTGATGTATGCCTGTTCCATATGGATTCGTTACCATACGACTGCTGTTGGCCATTTGGAAACAATTTTTCCGAGCGATGGTATGTTTTTCTGACAGATCTCGCCACTTGAGACAAGTCTTTCCACGGCCAGGTCACCAAGCAAGCATCTCTGTTGCCAGTCTGCCTGGATTCGTCTCGTGGGCCTTTTCTATGGTGACTTCTGAACTTCGGAGGTATAAATTATACAACGCCCCCGTAGATGACGCCTTCTCGTATTATCAATCTTTCGTCTTCCTTCTTGAAGTGTGATTCACCTTCTGCGCGTTGTCTCCAATCAGTACTTTGTATCCGTGTGAAGACATCTTGAAATGTTTGATTCGATGGAAGTAGTTTTTTATGTCGTTCAGCTTTATTGACTGCGTGTCTGCAAAGTAGATGTCATTCTGAAAGAAACAGTTTTTCTCCTCTTGCGGTGTCATCTTGTTTAAACGCAATCTGCCCAGAGCTTCTGCATAGCAGATCTGCTTTTCTGGCCCGTACTTATTTTGTATCAGCGCAATAGCAAGTCTGGTTATTCTAGCCTATGCTGTTTTTTGTGTCTGTCCTTCTGGCGCAAAGAGGCACTGCCAGCTAGTGTGATCTTTTTGTAGAGTTGACTTGCTTCCTATGAAAAATTGATTCAGTCTTGTGACCACAAACACGATTGCCAAAGCTTATCTTTCTAGGTTGGAGTAATTGCGCTCAACTGATGATAGCTTCCTTGAGACTTGGATGACTGGATAA